AAAATGTTAAAAAACAAAATGAAGATAAACTTTTTCTTTCGCAAAATTTGAAAGCATTATTTTATCATCAATTTTTTCTCCACTTCCTTTTTCCAAATAAGAAATAATTTTCTTCACAGTAATCAATTTAATCATATGAATGATTTTCAATAAAAAAAAAACAATTCTAATTAACTAAATTACTACTTTTAAAATTGTATATATTTATTATCATAAATTGATAGTAAAAACACAATAAATTTATTTATTAATATGAAAGATTGTTAACAGTAAAAAGAAAAAAATTCTAATTATCTGATCATTTCCATTTAATGATTATCCCTTGAAATTTTCAAACTATGTATGCTTATCATATAAACAATCTTCGATAGCAAAGATTTCGTTATCTGAGAGGCAGACGATTACAACACTGACGAATGAACCGAAGGCGGAAACAATGCCACTGCCGCTTATTACAATAAAAGAGTTGTTCGATTTCGTTTAAATTTCTTCTCATTTCAAAGAGCTTTTAACTATTAAAACGATTCCATTACACATTTAGCACAGTACAAAAGTTTTAAACAAATTCATTATGAGCGAATAGTTATTTGGTAAATTAACTCAGTTAAATCCGAAAGCATCAGATATCTTTGTGTGTTAATATAAAGTGATGCTGTCATGATAGCGAAGTGATTAATTAATTTAATTTAATAACATAAGTATAGTAATATACTCCCACTGTAAGAGGACTGACTTATATTTAATTATTATAAGTAGATATTATTCTTATGATCGAATCTAATTTCAAAAGTACAAATGTGTTTGAGTTGATTTTATGCTAAAAATTGAAAAGCAATAAAAATAGTTGATAGAAATGAAATTAAAATAATTATTACAAAATTAGAATTTATGCGAGAATTGCATATAAATGTAGGTTTAAGTAACTGTAAAAATTTTTGATTTAATATAAACATTTAATATAGTTGCTAAACAAAAAGAGGAAGCAACCGTGTGATTTGTTAAAATTACAATTGTAAATAATTTTAATAATGTGTCAAATTTCTATTAATTACTAACCGTGAGCCGTAAAAATGGATTCTTCTTCAGGTGATGTTGACCTGAGATCCATACTGCCCGCATCAAGGCCAAGAGACATAAATATTGAACGACCTTTGTCATTCTCATCGTCCATTGCTTCCTGAAAATTATAATTTTTCTTAAATAAAATTTGAAATTAACCAAAGCATTGCAATGAAATCAGTTTAATACAAATTTAAACTAAATTATTCATCCACAATTAAGGGAAAAATAAATCGGATAAGTTGAAATAAAATTACATCTTTTTGCGCGGGTAAATTAAGCGGATTTTCTGAGGTACCGGAAGTCAATACAATCATTGATTTTTCAAGGAAATCAACAGCTGCCGGATCTTTCACCGATTTTTTACCCTGTAATTAATTTGTATTGCGGTGAGATATTCGATGAATACTTTTTAATTTGAAAAAAATTGAAAAAACGTGTAATTTCAAAGAAAACTGTAAAATATTTCACACCCAAAATTTCTTCAGTTTTTAAGTTAACAGAATTAATTTTCTATAATTTTCAAAATTTTATCAAATAAGTTTTCAATTTATAGAGCTAACCTTTTTGATTATAATATCATCTTTACCAATGTAGGCATTTTGCTCTTGCTTGTGATGTTTCAAAATATGCTTCGTTAAATTTCCTGAAATGAAAACTTTTTCATCACCAATTATTTAAATATACTGCTAAGTGTGACTCATATATTAACTGATAAATTT